CCCCCGTTCATTACCCTCTGTTCACCTAGCTAGTATTTCTCTTTTTCAGTTCCTCTCTTAAATTCATGCACTCATACACGGGACAAAGACTTTATTACATTCTGTCAACGTGTGCAAGAGGGGGAGTAATTATGTTCAAGATCCATCATTCTTTAATGTTTTTCTCACTATCATTTTCCAAAATTTTGTTTTCTTATTTGGCCGTGTTTTGTACCCGCTAGATTTGTATCAGCTGTTGATGAGAAAGTCTCTACTCACCCAAAACATAACATAAACAAAATAACTCAAATATTTAAAAAGTAGTAACCTAAGCAGATTAAATTTCTTCAGATACGTCCACAGCATTCTTGTTACTCGAATCATCTAAGTTGTGTCTCATTTTGGATATCCAGTCCTTAATACACACACACTATACTTAAAAAGTAGAGTAAAATCCTATTGATCCCTTAACCTTTAATACTTGAAAACTATACCCCTTCACATTTTGAATGGGAAGGGCAACCCCCTTGTACTCAAAAATCAGTTGAAAAAAAACTATTATCAATAAAAATAAAAATTAAGAATAAACCCTCTTTTTGGAGGGAATAGTTTTGGCGCTAGAATAAGTTGGGCGCTATATTCTGATAATTAGCATAAATTACAGTGTTTACTTTTAACTTTTAAGCAAAAACTTGACATAAAAATTTGGGGAAAACCTAGAGTCATATGGAAAATAGACGTACTTTTCAAGGTGAGTAACCTTTTTCACTATTACAATATAATGCCATATCAGTGGTTTTGTGCTTGTGCACAAGTTCCAAAGACGGTATATATTTATATAATATATTCTTATTATAATATTATTTGCCAGATTCTATATTTCGAAAGGATAAAATACAAATACTAAAATACTACAATATGAATGGAGTCCATCGGCCTTATGAGAAACCATGGGTACTGCTCAGCAGCAGTGGGGGTATTCTAATCTTTTTCAAAATCAACTTCTTGCTCAATATCTAGTGAGCGGATACTACACATCTCTTTCACTTTTTATTTTCACTTAAGAATGTTTTCGTTATATGTATTGATTTACAGCTGGGTAAAGTTTTATCTGTCCAATCTAGCATCTTTCTCTTTGTCAATTTCCATCGATGAATCCATATTTCTTCGATACAACTGTTACACCTCACGTTTTCGTACGCAGAAGTACGCCATAAGTAAATTGATGAAAACTCGGAAATGAGATGTTATATCCCGTATTCTCGTACGTTAAAGTTTCGTCGTAAGTTAATCGACGTAAGTTCGGGAATGAGATTATTTTGGGATTATAAGTATTACGCTATTCCACACAAGAGATAAGTAAATTCGTGAAGGTGAAAGGGTAAGCGAATCGAAGGAAATGAGTTTCGTCGAAGTTTGACATTTTGGGATAAATACGGTCCGAGCTATAATACCCGGTATTTATGGACTAATGCCATTCAAGGTACTACATGACCATGATAGTGATGTGTATAAAATGTGTTAAATGTGAGTAGTATTTTAAGTAATTTGAGATAATTCTTAATTATGTGGATAATTGGGTAGTTATGAATTTTTTTAGTGGGAGATTAACTTGTAAATTGAATTTTGTGAATAATTATTTGGATAATTGTTAAGGGGGACAAATCCACGTGTGATTAATGAGGGCTTGGCAGCAAGCTAAAGCTAACTTAATGACTCTTGAGTTATGATTGAGAGGTGTCACATTTAAGTTTATTATGTGGCTTAGTCATTAGATGTGGGCCCCACACCATATAAATCATAAAGACCTCTCCAATTTCCATTTGGTAAGAAACAGATCTTCAGCAACATTTCAAGCAAAAATACCATATCATCTTAGCAACGTGAAGTGGCTTCAATCTTTCATACAAAGACTACGTAATGTTATAGCAACGGGATTTTGCGATTCTAAGGGAGTACGGTGTAATCTTTCTCAAAGAATATCATACGAATTTTCCCCTACTTTGATCCGCCCTTACATATTTTGTCGCAATCAACGTGTATTGAAGGGATTGTCAAGAGAATTGGTTCAGGTATGTTAAGGCTATCCCTTCTTTCCTTTTGGCATGATCTATACGAAACGAGCAAATGCACAACTTTCATAAATGACTCTATTCATAGAAATACTAGGGATGTCTATATTCTTGATTCCCCATGTGAGTTATTATTATATCTTCTGTTCATGGGTCTCAAAAAAATACATATTTGATAAAATTTATCCGAGAGGCATATTATTTTTATGACATTCCGAGAGAATCTTATTAACGTATTTCTTATGTATTTCATGCATTTATACATGTACATTGACACATGACCAGATGGCGTTATATACGCATTATTATATGTATATGGGATATGGGAAAAGGTTATGGCGTTATATACGCACCACCACCTGATCAGCTGGTATACAAATGCATGACATTATAAAAATAAAATGATTCACAAAGCTATGCAGACGTACATGTCGAGTCTTTTACTCCATGTTTCTCTCATGTCTATTATTTACTGAATTTCATTCCTTACATACTCGGTACATTATTTGTACTGACGTTCCTTTTGCCTGGGGACGCTGCGTTTCATGCCCGCAGGTCTCGATAGACAGGTCGAAAGTCCTCCAAGTAGGCGATCAGCTCAGCGGAAGATGTTGGTGCACTCTATTTATTCCGGAGTTGCTTATGTGGTCAGTATGATTAGAACATGTACTGATTAGTATGGCGGGACCCTGTCCCGACCTTTATGATATTTATGTACTCTTAGAGGCTTGTAGACATATATCGTGCACGTGAAAGATTGTACGACCTTGTCGGCCTATGTTTTGAGTTTATAAATGATGATGTTGGCCTATTAGGCCTGTATGTCACATGTATATGATGATGTAATAAGAAAGATACGTTACGTTGGTACTCTATTGAGTAAGGTACCAGGTGCCCGTCGCGGCCCATCGGTTTGGGTCGTGACAAAAGTGGTATCAGAGCAGTTCTGTCCTAGGGAGTCTACAAGCCGTGTCTAGTAGTCTTGTTTATGGGTGTGTTGTGCACCACACTTATAAGCAGGAGGCTACAGGGCATTTAGGACTGTCACTCTTTCTTCTTACTCTAAATCGTGTGGTAGAGCTCAGTTGTTAGAACTCAATTTCCAAAACTCTATCTTATTGATAATACGATGATGCCTCCATCTAGAAAAATGGTTGGTAAGAGATGTAGATATGGAAGAGTTGAGTCAGAGGAACTCAATTTTTACATCACGCTTATGATGGATAAATATGAGGTATTCAACAGATCATGTGTGTACTAAGATGTGTAAACTTCTTGATAAGGATCCCTAAGACTAGAATGTCTATCCACTCTTACGGTAAAAAGGAATAAGAGAATTGGAAGGTACACACAAGTTTCAGCAAGTAAAAGAAGCAAGGTGAAGAGGGGTACGAGGTACCTAGTTAGTAGAGATGAACATTATCTACAATTCAAGCAGAGAAATATAAGCATTTTGAGTTACCTTCAATTATAACAAAGGTATATACAATTGGCCACACCCATCTCATTTATTTCTTATGGAAGCTAACAGAAGTAGTATAAGAGAAGGACGGATATCAAGATCCGGCTGGGGTTAGAGTAACCCAAAATGGTGAATGGATTATTTGTGTTAGTTGACATTTCCGAAGGGTATTGCAAATATGGTAATAGATCTCCTTGTGAGACACCCAGATGGTGCACTCTAAAATAGTACAACTAGATATGAGTACTACAAAGATAGGCACTGAAAGTCTTGAAGGGATAAACATTACCTTAGTGTGGCTCCCGTCTTTAGTAGAACGGGAATGTTAGGCAACCCGAAGAGCCAGGGGATGGAGCAAGGGGAGATAAAAGCAAAGAATGTCTTGTTGAAGTTTTCTGAATAAAGTAATAGACATAAATATTAGCGGGAAATAAGAAGAGAGTTAATGAAGCATTATGAGTAAGATGTGATACATGGACGACAACGGTAGATCAAAAAGATGACAGTATTACTGAGTCTATACTCAAGTGAAGGAAAATACGAGAGGTGACAGGCCTTGAGACAACAAAAGAGTATAGGCCATAAAGTCATATCCTCATTTCGAGAAATAAGTTCGTGACTCTAACACGACTACCAAAAGAAAAAGTTAGACCCCAGAGTAATAAGAAATCAGCATGGATTGATGAACAAGATAAACTAAGTATGAACTAGGGACTGAGTAGTAGTCGGCATCATGAGAATTTCAGAGATTGCGTCCCGACGATAATAGAGTGGAGGAAAGAAGAATACCCTTTAAAGGTCATTCAGGAAGACGCTTCCCCAAAGTAAGCAAGGTGAGTAAAGTTAAGCTTAAGGGACTGTATGTGCCAGTTACATAAGTGTCACCCTCGCAAGCGAGGAATTTTGTTATCCTTGGTACAGAAGGATTACCGCGAGGTGAGTAAGGATCATCGATGATGTGAAACTATGCCACAGATGAGAAGGTAAAATATCTATACGTAGATCATCTTAACACTAAATCTTAGT